CGCCCTTCACCCCTGCTTCACTCACTCCCCGCCCTTCACCCCTGCTTCAGTCACTCTCCGCCCTTCACCCCTGCTTCACTCACTCCCCGCCCTTCACCCCTGCTTCAGTCACTCCCTGCCCTTCACCCCTGCTTCAGTCACTCCTCGCCCTTCACCCCTGCTTCAGTCACTCCTCGCCCTTCACCCCTGCTTCACTCACTCCCCGCCCTTCACCCCTGCTTCAGTCACTCTCCGCCCTTCACCCCTGCTTCACTCACTCCCCGCCCTTCACCCCTGCTTCAGTCACTCCCCGCCCTTTAGCCCTGCTTCAACCTCTCAGTCTCAGGACAGTTCAGACGGAACACGCCGCCCTTTGTGGGAAACAAAGCCAGCTGCTCTGTGGCTGACTTTGTCCCCAGCTTCCCTGGCTATTAGCACATGACAGCACTCTGACTAATTGCTGGGAAATGAGGCCCCAGAAAATCTGTGTCAAAAGAACCCGCAGCAAGATTGTCATAGGAAGGAGCTAGCTGGGAACGGGAGTGGTGATCAGAGCTAGGGGCTGGGCTAATTCTGGAGGCGGAGACACGGAGCCCTGTGACTATCAGACAGAATTCAGAGCTGAGGTCGGGAGGCCACACAGAACCCGCCCCCTTCTGTCTGGGGAGAGGCCTCGGGAAGCGTGCACTGGTCACCTCAACACCTGGTCCGGACCCCATTCTTCTCGGAGCCTCTGAGGTGGCAGGCTAGGCTTCCTCTCCTTCGCCTCTGCCCTCCGGTGGAGCCGTGGGACGGGAAGAGCAGATGTGTCCAGAGTCGCCTCCTGCTGTCTCTCCAGTCCCCAGAGGCCCCTTCCCCCCTCACGTCTTGATTGTATTTCCAGACTAATCACACCCAGCCCGTCCACACCATTTCCAACACTCATGATCGCTATTAATCAGCAAGCTGGCGGGGCTGCACTGCCATGCGGGCCTCTTGTTAATGATGGAAGAAGGCTGCCAGGTGGCCAGCTCAGCTCCAGATGGGGAGAGGGGTCTGGTCCAGACCGAGGCGGCAAAGGCACCACCGCAGGCTGTCTGGCCTGGAAAGGAGATCCCCGGTGCTCGATGACGAGAAGCGGGCAGGCCCTCTGTCTGCGAAGGGTGATGCTGAGAGGCCACCCCCGTGTTCACTGCTTGTCGCACCAGGCGAGCGTGGAGACTGAGAGCAGGGAGGGAGGAACCTCGGGAGGAAGGTTATCTGGCCACCCCTGTAGGAAAGGACTTAATGCATCTTCCTAACAGCCGGGATCAAGAGACGTGTGAGCAGGCGTGCAGAAGTGCGTGCCGAGGAGAGGTGAGGGGCCCTTCGGGACAGAAATGCTGCGTACATCTCCCAGATCCTGCATTCAGCCCCTGCTCGGTCCACACTGAGCTCACGCGTGCTCATGTACACTGACTCTCCTATCAGCACACAGAATCGAGGGGTCAGCTCCACACTTACTGGGGGGCTTGGTGTGGAAAGCCTGCCCTTCTAGGTGCTGAGTCACAGTGACTCGATTTATAGCCGTCAACACACCTTTGCAAACCAGATGGGGTGCCAAGCGCGGGGCCCCAAGCTGGGTCCGCCAAGCCTGGAAGAGGGACGGGTATCAGTGATACACAGGAGAGCACGTTCCAAAGGCCATCGTGTGGCCCAGCGAGAACTCAGCCACTCAGGGGGCGTCCGAGGAACCTTTCAGGGAGGCTCTAGGGCAGAGGGGAGCCTGAAAGCTTGAGGGGCGCGTCGTGGTCATTCGGCTCCTCATAGGTGGATTTGGGGCAGGCCCGAGCAGAGGCATTTGGGGGACATTGGAGCTGTTCTCTCTTCCCAGGAATCTGTGCTGAAAGGGGTACCCAGAGCCACAGAACTGCGGAAACCTGCGGCTGGGAGTTCACGCCCCTCAGTGAGGGACAGGTCTTGAGGAGCAGGAACTGTCCAAGGAATTCCTTCTGCCTCCCAGAGCCTCTCACAGGCCAAGGACAGGGCTCGGTGCACCAGCCTCACCCAGGAGGGGCAGGGTCAAGGCAGGCCCAGCCGGCCACCTGTCTGCCCTGAGATGGCGTTTGATCCACTCCCAGGCCAGGACTCTCAGACCCCAGCACAAGTGGCCCACCCCCACTCCAGACCCCACGCCTAATGGTTTATGCAGAGAGCACTTTCCAGTGAGCATGTTCAGGTTTGGCTTTGCTGAGCCCGAACCCCTGAATCTAGACATAACCGAGGGGCTCCTCCTCCACCCTCTACCTCCATATGGGGCTATAAAGGAACTGCAGGAACAAATAAATCGTGTTTATTCTATGGTTTCCAGAAAGAAAACAAGGAAACTTGTTTTAACGGCTACCTAGAATGACAGCTGGGTGAAAGTCTAATGCCTCGGTCTGCCGTTCGCTAACCCATGGCCTTGCTCAGAGGAAACAGCAAAGACATGAGGTCTGGTCCTTCAGGCTCCAGGTCATCCGTATGGGGACAACCATAAGACCAACCTCCAGGGTGGGCCTGAGGAAAGTGAGCCGATGACGTAGAATGTTTGGAATACACCTAGCAGGAAGTAAGCACTAAAAAAATAAGTACACAAATCAAACACCGTTTTCAGAGCTGGCTCTTATTATGAAATAAAATACCCTTCTGGCAAAGGTGGTATCGACATTCCCACGTGAAAAGAGTTTACAGCAGCGTCTAATTGGAAGGGAGAGAGATTTGTTTGTACAACGCACTTGAGGGCCAGCCAGTGGTCTGGTGGTTAAAGCAGCTGGATTTCACATGGCCAAACTCTGGGGTTTGAGTCCCGGACCCAGCAGCCTGAGAAACACGCCAGGTACATGAGCACGCGTACCCAAAATCCTGAAAGGAGGAGGAGGAGGAGACTGGGGTGGGACCATCCCCCACTGGGAAGGCTTTCTCATTTTCTCTCTTTCTCTCCCCCCACCCTGTCTCTCTCCAGGAAGCGTGTGCGTCTTCTGGCAAAGGAAGGGAGGGAGGGAGGAAGAGGAAACGTACTTGTATAGCAAGAAGCGTTTGTCCCTCTTCCAGTAGTCTCTTCATACCGTCAGGGCTTCGTGTAAATATTTTCACTATGGGGTCCTTACTAGGATTCAATTAAATGACACGCGCCATGTGCTTAGGGCTGTGCCCGGCACTGAGCCAGCGCTCTGTAAGCGTCCGTGGTTTGTGTGGGGCAGCCTAAGAGAGTGCTGGCGGCTATACTGGGGGAGTGGAGAGTGGAGACCACCGTGTCCCCAGTAGAGCCCGGAAGCCTCCTGCTGGCAGCTCTTCCTGCTCCATAGCTGAGGTGAGCCTTCCCTGCTGTGCCGTGAGAATGAGAATTGGTAGAGGGTCAGTCAGACCTGGGTCAGGTTCCAAGGAAGCTCCGGCTCATTCATTTGAAGAAAGGACAGCATGATTTCGGAGCCAGCCCTTCGGTTTAGGAGTGGCTGCTCCTTTGAGCTCCTGTGGGGCCCAGCGCCATCCAGCCCATGCTGCAGGACCCACATGCATGGCCAGGAGACATCGGGCTGGAACGTAGGCCCTAGCGCTCTGCTCTCTCCCTGGCTGTGGAACAGAGACACACACGCCTGGCCCCTGTCTTCCAGGGGGACCCACAGGGTAGAGACAGGGTCAGAGGCTTCGGAGGCACTAGGAGGATTCACTTTACAAGGGTAAATGGTTGGGCCTACTGTGCCGCCTCTGGAGGTGACAAAGGAGCAGGACCAAGCTCGTCCCACTCGGCTGCCGCGCAGGACACGTTACCTCGTGGATCCCAAAGTGGGCGTAGGAGTCGAAGTAGTAATCTCGCGAGGTCATCTCCTCGGGGTTCAGCAGCTTGGACATCTTGCCCCGTCCTGGGCAGCTGGGCTGGGTGGACACGTGGTGGACACATTGCACGGGCTTGGGCGGGATGACGGGCTGAGGGGGCTGAGAGGGGGGGCTGCTCACCTGGGAGAAGAGGAGAGAAGGGGGCCGGTTAACAGAGGCCACGAGGTCCCTCCTCTCCCCTCACTCCCTGGCCTCGCTCCATCAGCAGCCCTCCCTGCGGGGGAGGAGACCCCGTCAGCCTCCTGTGATTTGTGGAGAGTTGACAGGCCACTGAGGAGCCAAATGGGCCCTGACTCCCTGGCAACTGGAACCAAGCGCGGCCTCCGTTTCCACATCTGCTAAATGGAGAGGACAGTATCCCCCTTTAGAGGTGAAGAGGAACCACTTGATAACAGAAAAGACGCAGAACCCGGCCCAGCACAGCCTGGTGGCGAGGACACACTCGAGCCTGTGTCGTCAGTCACGAATCTCAGCTCTGCCACTGCCCAGCTAGCCGACCCTGGGCAAGGCTAGAAACTGCGAGGCTCCTCAACTTCCCTGTCTCAGAACGGGCTACCACGGTCCCTACCTACCTCCTAGAGCTTCCCCGATGATTAGACAAAGTAGCATTGTTCTGGTGCTTAGAAAAGAGGTAGGCATGCGGTCCATGCCGATTCAACTGGAATAAGCCCCACCTGCATCCCGAGGAGAGCGAGCCCCTGACTTCTCTCTACCCAACAGGCAGGGCCAAGCTGAAGCAGCACTGGGCCTCCCACGGCGGCCCCTTAGGTCCCGGTGTCTCGCCCCTGTGGTCTTCCTGCCCGGGTCTCAGTACACAGTGGACCCTGACTCCAGCCTGTGAACATCTACGCTGCTGCCGCCAATCATTGCTCTTTCTGGGCTCCTCGGTCCCATGCCCCAGCCAGCTCTACGCCCACTGCCGCTGCCCAGCAATGTCTATCCTCTGCTCCCCGACCCCCCACAGGCTCAGGAGAGCAGGGAGAAGGTGATGGAGGCCCAGAGAGCTTCCGACACCCAGCGAGAGCGACTGGAACCCAGAAGTACACACGTCAGTGCAGAAGCACGGCCATGCCAGCCCACCGTGCCCTGAGCAAAGGAGATTCAGGTGTGTATGGCACGGAGAAGGCCTCGAGACAGGGCAGCACTTCAAAAATAGAAAAGCAGGAACCAGCAGGCGACATGGTGATTAAGGCTCTGGACTCCCACATTGTTGAGCGCGGTTCAAGTACCAGACCTGGTGGCTTGAGACTCACTCTGGGCCTGTGTGTATGCGTGCCCAAAATCCCAGGAGGAGAATGAAGAAGGAATTGCAGCATGGCCATCTCCCCAGGAGGTGGCTTCCTACTTTTCCTCTCACGGTCTTTCTCTGTCTTTCTCTGGCTAGCATACGTGCCCTATGACAAAAACCTTACTAAAACTAAAAATCAGAAGAGCAGCATTATCTGGTACTTAGCCCTCTGGGACCGAGAATCAAGGCTCCTGGACCCCATCCTAGCTATCTGGGCTCTTGTAAAATGAAAAATAGATCCTGAGAGGCAGACAGCAGAGGGTAGAGAGCAAACCCAGGGGCCACACTGCCTGGTTCTGAAACCCGGCGATGCCGCTGGCTGGCTGTGTGACCCTAGGAAGTCACTTGTCATCGCTCCTGTTTCCTTCTCTACAGGATACAGATTATAATAAGCACGACCTGGAAGGACCGTCCAGACGCTGGGATGAGTGCTGTACGTAGACTTTAGGTCCTGGCACACAGTAAGGGCTTTACGAACACCAGTATTACTCGGGTGCAGAGGTGCACCCCTACTCCGGGCCTTAGTTCTCATCTGTGGGCTGGACCAGCTCAGGTTTCTTACCTGCTCTCGAGCACAGGAAGCTGGGGGATCCCGGGACAGAGGAAGGTCAGGAAGTCTGAGTGACTCCCTCTCCTTCCTCATTGTGGGTGCAGCCTGGGGCTGCCCTGTGTCCAGCACTGGAGGGGTGCTGGCTGGGGGCCGCACGATGGCCCCATTTTCCTGGTGTATCTAGGCCGCTGCCTCTGGGAAATAAGCAGCCTTCCCTGTTTAGCAGCACCAGGTTCCAGGTCGGCGCGATCCCGGGCTGGCTGGCAGCAGCGGGCCTGCCGCCTCATTAGAATGCAGCAGGTGTGCCCACCCTCAGCTTGCGACGTTGGTCACGGTCTCCGGGAGGCTAAAAATAGACTGTGTCAATTGCACACTCTCGTGCAGGCTGCAGAGTCACCTCTAAAGCTGGAAGGAAGCTCTGGCATGAAGCTGACCCCAATATTGACTCTATTTAAACAGATTACGGCTAGAAAAAGTCCCGGCTGGTCCAGGCATTGTGCACGGTCAAGGTCGCAGGGGCCTGCAGCACCCCTTAGCACTCCTTCTACCTGATGCCACGGAGGTCCCTGAGACATGCCCAGCAGTCAGCTTCTGTGTGTGCCACGCGCCACACATTGCAATCACGAGGTTTTGGGAGTGGGGCACTCGCTTTAGTAGACATGGACCGCGGGGACCAGGAAGTGGCTGTGGCCCGTCTCTGGTCCTTCAGGCTATCAGTCCCGCTTGGCAGAGGGAAGCCTGTCCCGGCAGGCTGGACAACAGCCATGGTCTCTGACCCCTGGGCAGAGAGCTACCGTGGGCGTTACTTTTAATTCCACAGACATGAATGAACATCGATGACCCCAAGGACCCGTGGGGGTCCTGCAGAAGAAACAGACGGACCAAAGCTGTACCCTCAAGGGACTCTGCTCTCGAGACCCCAAGGCCCTGCAGGGCACCAGTAGATGCTGGAGTAAGCTTTGTTCTAGAGAGAAGTTCAAGCAAATTGTCCCGGGGCTTCAAAGGAGGGGGAATTCACTTCAGTTCAGAAAGTCAGGGCAGCAGGGGACAGGCAGGAGCTTTTAGAACGGATTCTGGTAAGTGCAGACGTGGGAGGGAATTGTAGAGGGAGGGACGGCTGGAGCAGAAAGGTCACGGGGCGGGAAAGCAGTAAGCTTGTTTGGGAGCAGCTGGGCTGAGGTAGAGGGAGATTCGGTGGAAAGGAAATTATGGCCAGGCTAAGAGGTTGTAATTAAATCCCGAAGACAATAGGGAGCTGTTGCCGGTTTGAAACCAGGGAGGTCTATGTTTGAACTCTCCTTTAGGAAGATGGATGTGGTAGCAGCGGACGGAGGAGGAAGGAGGGGAAGGGCCGGGACTGGGGAGGCGAGACACGAACCCAGGAGGCTATTTTCAAAGTCCAGTCAAGAAATAACGAGAATCTGAACTGCTGGGGCAGCAGAGGGGGCTGTCTGCCAGAGAAAATGCAGAAGTGGAATGTCTAAGAGTTGGCAACTCTTGACGGGACGCAGGGAAATAGAGAAGTTGGAATCAGAGATGGCTCCGCCACTTCGAGCCTGGGTGACCGGGGAAGTGGCGATGGCACTCAGAAACGAGCAAAGTCTGCGGGGAGGGAGGTTGAGGTGCGGATGATGACTCTTAATTTGCATATGTGGAGCTTGAAATGTCATTGAGCCATCTGAGAAAAGATGGCTAGCACACTGACATTAGTGCGGTCCTAGCCAATAAATGTCATAACCACAGTGGGAAGGCAGATAGTAAACTCAGAAGGAATTCTATCAGATAGAGCTGGCTAAGGTAACATCCTTCCATAGAGCATGCTCCAAAGCCGGTAAGAAGAGAAACACCCCAAATTTAACACTGGGCAAGGGATCTTACAGTCTACTCTCAAGAGCATAAATACAAATGACAAATTAGCATGTAGCAAAAATGTGTAACCTTGGGGACCAGCAGGTGGCGTGGTGGTTAAGGCACTGGACACTCCCTGTGGCCAATCATGGTTTGAGTCCCGGACCTGGTGGCTTGCTTTCTCACTTCAGCTCTCTCTCTTTCTCTTTCTCTGTGTCTCTCTCTGGTCAAATTAAAATAAATGAATAAATAAAATTAAATAAGTAATTTTTTTGAGAGGTTTTCACTATAGGACGCGTGCGCGCACCAGACAGAGAGAGACAGAGAGACAGAAAGCGAGAAATCACCCCCCAGGGGGATGGTCACGCCACAATCCCTTCTCCTCCATTCTCCTCTCAGGATCTTGGGCACGCACGCACACGCGCCCGGTGTGTTTTAAGTCACCGGGTCCGGGACGCAAACCGCAGTCAACTACATGGGAGTCCAGCGACATAGCCATTACGCTAACTGCTGGTTCCCTTAAATAAGTAATTTTTTAAAAATGTGTAACCTCATAAGAAAGCAGAGAAATTTAAATTAGAACAAAATCTTCCAATTTTTAAATACCAAATAAGCGCTCTTCTTCCCAAAACTACTGAAACTCTGCATTTGTAAGGAATGCAAGAAAAGAGTGTGTTTTCATATGCTTCTAGTGGGACTGTAAACACGTTGAAGCTTTTTGGAAGGCAGTTTGGTAAAATGCATTAAGGGAGTTTAAAAGCACACATCTTTTAATCCAGTAATTCTACTTTTCTGAGTGGGGGGGGCTGTATTAGAAAGAAAGAGTCAAGGAGAATTATCAATACGTACCTAAATTACCAATATGTACCTACAGGAATTTCGTGACAGCCTGGTCCATAGCGGCAGAAAAGCCAGTAGTGAACTCCGATGCTCCACAAAACAAAGCTGATGGCATAAGCTGAGGTATGGCCACAGACTCGTGCCATGCTGCCATTAAACATGCCATGGGAGAGTGTTTAATAACACGAAATAGAAACTCAGTGTTGAGAAAGACAAGAGGGGGAGGAGAAGAGGCAGCATGATTGCACTGCAGAGATTAGAGCCTATTCATGCCCACGTGTGACGAGGGAGACTCGGAGACGGTGCAGGATTGACAGTGATTGCCGCGGGGTGCTGGATCAGGAACAGTTAATTCTTTTCTTTCTTGCACTTGTTTATATCTCCTACATTTTATTACATGTACTATTTTGTAGAAAGCAAAATAATAGTACTGAAAAAGAAAAGAAAATATAATCCCAAACCTCTGCAGAGAAGCTGAGGCTGGCCCTCCAATTTGGAGACCATCTGCAGGGGTGGGAGTGCTGAAGGGGGTGAGGTGGGAAGGATGCCAAAAGACAGGGTCAGGGGTAGTGAAGCTGGTCCTGGGAGAGGAGT